AAAGCGTCATCTATTTTTGCCCTTGCCCCCCACTTACCAGCTCCGTTGCCTGCACACACAGTAGAGTTTCAGGCCTCTCTCCTTCCTAACAGGGAGGCAAGGTTGTGCATGGCTGGGAGCACAGGCTGGAGTCAAACTGCCTACATCCAGGTCCTGCTGTCCTGTGTATGTAAATAAATGACTGGACTTCTCAAAGTCTATCCTTCTCTCTGTAAAGTAAGGACAACAATAGTCCTTACCTCATAGGATTTTCGAAGGGATTAAATGCATGATACTAACAGATCACTAAGCACAGTACTAAGAACAAAGTAAGCTCTCAAAAATGTGGGTAGGTGTTACCAACTACCCTATCATAGGGCAGGATTACTATATAACACATTACTATGTCTATTGTATAAGCTATTTGTTTTTAGCAGTACTTATACATAGACTTTTAAATTTAAACCTTCCCAGAATACTGAGATATATCATTAGCTCTACTTTGCAGAAGAAAAAACTGACATGCAGTGAGTTATGTGTCTTGCTTGAGGTCACATCGTCACAACTGCTGGTGTCAAGACTGGAATATGGGACTTCTGATTCAAAAATATGCTATTCTTCTATGTTTTATGTACTATTTATGTATTATTATGTCCAATTAAAAGTCAGCTCACTTTTCAAGGCCTAATTCAAATGCTCCTTCCTCCATGACATCTTCCTTAATTCCTTAGGAGGGATTTATCAGTTTTTCTTCTGCATTCTGGAAGCATCCCAATTATAGACCTATTCAGATGAACTGAACTCAGTAGTGTATTATCCTTGGGAATTTACATTTCTGGCTTCTTCACTCAACTTTGATTGCTTTGAGGACATAACTTCTGTCACATTCATAGGTGCAATCTCAGTGACCATCTCCGTACCTTGCATAAAGTAGATAGCAAGGCAGTAAATGTGCAGCAGAATTTATCAGTCAGGATCAATAAAAACATAAAAGTTATGTTTCAGTAACAAACAATCCCAAAATTTTAGTGGCTTTCCAAAAAAATGACCTATTTCTCACTCATTCTATCTTCACCTTACAAGTTCCATCATCTTTATTTTGGGACCCTGGCTGAAGAGATGGACAAACGGAAGATGGCAGAAGGTACGATAGACCTTAGGGCTTGTGCTCAGAAATAATATACATGCTTCTATTCACATCTCATTGGCCAAGGTAAGACACACGGCCCTTTCTGATGTCAGGGGGCAAGGAATGTAACATTCTTCTGGAGAGGGATTCCGATTGTAAAGGAAGAGAAATCTGATCAGAAAGAGCAACAGTGAATCTGGAAACTGGCTCCATTTACAAGGGAACTAACAGCTAGTTACTGAGAAGACTGTGATGAATCGGAAGTCTCTTACACAGTCTGACATGCAATCCTCATTCAAACACACACACATATACACACACACATACCCATGAGGTTACAGATTATTGTTTTAGTTGTACAGGCAAAGAAGCAAAAGCTTAAAGAAGTTAAACAAATATATTAAGATAACATAGAAAAATAATAGGACCCAGATCTGACTTGGGTCTAAGTCACTCCAAACTCACTTTCTCCTAAATGACACTGTCCCCTTAGGGTTTTAAGGCTCCTAATTAGAATACATCAGTCTTTCTACCAAAAAAGTGGAGTAAATCCTTAGTACTTGAAGTGTTTCCCTGGAAACAGCAGTATTGGCATCACGGGCTAGACATGAAGGCTCAGACGTCACCCCAGACCTACTGGATCAAAATCTGCATTTGAACAAGACCTTCAAGTGACTCGAAGGCATATTCCAAATTGAGAAGCACTGAGGTAGATACCAAAGGCAAAAAACAAACAAACAAACAAACAATACCAAAAAATGCATTTTTTCCCATCTTGACTGGAATCAGGGAGCAGGAGAGAGCCGACTGTGGTGCTACCTACTGTTTGAAAACCTCATCAAGTTAATTTTGTTGAAACAGGAGAAAATGACATAAAACCTGTTCCTAGTACCCATGTGGGAGCAGCATTAACAGATGCTGCCGAAAGCCCATGACCTTAATTGTATCTTCCAACACTTTGCCTAATTCCCTGAATCTCATCATTAATTAAGTCCTCAAACATGCATTGTACTGTAAACTGCTACACACCAGAACAGTGCCAAGCACTGGACATGACGAGGGTCTCTGTCCTAGAGTGGCTTGCTCTCTAGAAGAGTGAGACAGTATAAAAATGGATACACTATGATCAGGATTCATCGAAGAGTGAACAATGCTCTTTGGGGTCCTAGAAGGAGAAGGCACTGTATTGAGGTATGAGGGAAGGCTTCCTGGAGGAAATATATACAGGAGAAGGTCTTCAAGATGTGAACAGAAGCTCATTGTGCAAGGGCTGGGAAGGGACCGCAGGTCAGATACCACTGAGGCAGAAAAGCAATACTGGGTATGACTGGTGCTTTGGGTTGGCGGGAGGAGAGGTGAGATCTTTTGTGGTTCTGGGTGTAAATTTCTAGAAGATTTAAGTGTTGGTACCTGATGGGATGAGGAGTTCTTGTTAAGAAAAATCACTGGGTCAGCCCTTCTCTAGGTGTCTCAGTTTTGATCACCTGTAGGCTGAGACCCTACCTTGTTTCTGAGCTAATCTGGAACATTGCAGGCAGCATTTTTAGATTTTTAGTGTAACCTTTAGATAAACATTGTTTTAATCTAGAGCAAGTATATACACAGATAGTCCTTGAATTGCTATAGTTCTACTTAACATTTTGACTTTAGGATGGGTTTATCTGGTCATAGTCTCACTGAGTTCCTCAGGGAACTCCTTACAACCTAGGACGGGGTTATGGCTTCTACTGATTTTGCACGTTGTTTTGGCACCATTGTAAAGTCAAAAACTGTAAGTCAACCCATCCTAAATCGGGGCCCATCTGCTGTGCTGACCACATTAAATGCGTTTTTTACTTAAAATATTTTTGACTTATGATGGGTTTACCAGGGATGTAACCCCATCATAAATGGAGAAGCACCTATTTATACATATATGTAATGGTTAAACAGAAGGTAGTGTAAGAGTACAGAGACAGACCACCTAACCCAGCTTATTGGGGAGTTCAGGGAAGGCTTGCAGGAAGATGTGATGCCTGAGATGAATTGTAAAGGACAGGCCTGGTACAGTGAGAACAAAGGCCCAGCATAACAAGTGTGGGGGTGCTGCAAGCTCATATGGCTGGAATCTGAAGTCAGAGGCAGAAGCAAGTGGTTCTGAGCATCATAAGATTCCAGGACTGCCTCTGCTTAAGTGATGGAAGCTGTTCTTCACCTCCTAACCCTAACCTTCCCACTCTGTACCCCAGTTTGACTCCAGGGCTGGGACTTCCAGCAGCAAGGACAAAAAGAACATTACTGACGACGTGGAACATCAGGAAGGTGAAGACCAGAAGGGGAGAGCGCTGTTGAAAATGTGATGCTTGGGGGGACCGGGGTGTAGTGAGACTGCTTTAGAAGAACGCAGGGGCCAGAGGAGTGAGTCACCTGTCCACCAGCCTCTTAGTCACAAGTGATAATGTAGGTGCCCCTGGATGAGGAGGCAATTAAAATACAATTAACCTCGCTGAACTGCAGTTCTGAGTGCACATCAGAAAGAGATTTGGAGATCGTTAAATATAGGGCTGTGAGTGGAGGGGCTGTAGGATAAGGGTGGCAGGAGAAAAACCTTTCCTTGAGGCCATCGGCTACTTTTGTGGTTCTGTCCCACAATCAGTCCACAGCAAAATAGCATAGGAACCATTGCATGGGGAAGCAGAGGGACCCAAAATAATTTCCTCCTTTCTTCAATCCTCCCTCCCCAGGCCTGGCCTTAAGAAGAGATTCAGCAACTGCAAATCACGTTGCTGAGTAAAAATGCTTCTTGGGATGGGAGAGGATGAGGTGAGGGGAACCTACTCTTTATAGCTGCCTCCTAGGAGCCTGCTCAGTTTATTAAATTAACAGGCTTCTCTCTTGTGGTGAGGGCACTGGAGAATGAAATGCCAAATGGATCAGTTTCATGGAATTGGAGACTGATAAATTTTCAGAGGAAGGCTGGAAGGCTCCTCGGAGAGCATCTGGTTCAACCCCCCTCATTTTGAGATGAAGAACCTGCAGCCCAGAGATAGGAAATGACTTCCCTAAAGTCACGGTTGCTACTTGAAACTCAAAACTAAGAGGCATTGAGTGAGCGAAGTGAATTCTCTCCATAATTTATCACTTGTGCATGTTTAGTGTTCTTTATATTAAATTTACTTTTGATAAGGAGTACCTGCAATCTCAGAGGTAATTTACTGTGAAAGATAATTCTTAAGATTTGCCATCATTATTAACATTGACTTGAATTATGTTGCATTTTATATCAGAACGTAGGTTTAATTTAGCCCATGGAAAAACAATTCTCTCAGTTTAAAAAAAAAAAAAAAGAAAACTTATTTCCACAATGAGAAAGCAGCTTAACTTCTCACCAAGATAATAGTAACATAAGTTACAATTCCTTGCCTATGTCTGCCTTTTCAATCAGATGTTCACACCTGTCCTTAAAATCTTCATTAGTGTCCGTTGTTAGATTGGGCACCTCAGGACAGATAATCAGCCCTCACTCCAGTGCAGATGCAAAGAGGCGGGAGAGTTAGCTAGGCTGAGCCTGAGTTAATGGACATCAAGTGCCAGGTGCTGGGCTAGACCCTGAGGCTGCAAAAGTCAGAAGCATTAGGAATAATTCTTCTGGAGCTCACCACCTCATGAGGACTGGCTAGCCTAGTGAGAATCAGAAAAGGCAGATGAAGAAGGGTTATGTTCCAAGATAAGCATGTCCTCCTTCCAGCATTTGCATAGATCTAGACTTAGTCCTGGGTGAGGCCGTGTCCCATGACCACAGTATGGAGCTCCATTTCTCCCTCTAAAGGCGCACTGTTCAATATGGTAGCCACTAGCCACAGGTGGTTATTTAAATTTACATTCATTAATTTAAAAAAGTAAAAATTCCATTCCTTAGTCACATCAGCTAATTTTGGGGGCTCAATGACCACCTGTGGCTAGTGGCTACCCCACTGGACTGTGCAGGGTTAGATCCTTGCTGCCACTTAGACAATTCTATTGGACAGCTCTCTATTTGCTGACCCCAGAATTTGGTCTGTCATGCATCATAACACCAACTGGCTCCCATGTTGACTATATTTTCTCCAGGTGAGACTGGGATAAACACCCACCCTGAGTGGGTCATTTACATTTCTTCAAAAGCCTTTGCATGTCTTGTATTGCAGCTGTATTCTACCCAGTAATAGTGGAAACCAACATTCATCACGTGCTTGCCTTATGCCACCATGATTCTAAGTGCTTTCAACACAATCCTCCTTTTGATCCTCAAGAAACCCTGTGCACACCAAGAGGAGGTGGCAGAGGCCCAGTAAAGGACTTGTCCACATTCACCAGCCATGGGTAGGGACCCAGGAGTTGGATCTGGGCATGCTGCTTCAGAGCCCAGATCTGAACCACCATTCGTGCTATGTAGAGTTGGGCCTAATCCTGGCCCTACCCTGTGCTGGGTGTTTCCTTTAGGAAAGACACAAGCACTTCAATTCTCACTAAGTCCTCTTCTCCAATGGGAGAAGCTGCTTTCACTCTCTGCAGGGGCTTTGTGAAGATCAGGTACAGGGGGAGTGCTTTTTGAACTTTAAAGCCCTGACTGTTAGGGGCCTTTATGAAAAACAAAAATATTGCAAATATTGTCCTTCACATCAGCACTCTGTGGGCTGGAGAATCATCTGGAAACTTTGGTAAGCATGCAGACACTCTGGTCTACCCCAAGCAGTTCAGACCGTGTGAGTCCAGAGCCAGGCGTCTTCAGGTATAGCAAGTGCTTTGGGTGGTCTGAGACAGGAATCCTTGAGCCCCTCTTTGAAGAATGCTGATTATAGGTTTCCAGCTTTGGTGCCTGATGATCCATTTACATGTGGGCTGGAACAGAGCAAAAACTATTTGCAAAGGAGAACGTCTGCCATTCCAGGTAGAGAAGTGGGTGACTGGTTCTCTCTTCAGATTCCTCCAGGATCTCAATTTTCAAAGGCAGGTGCCCACTCCACCCTGTGCACAGCTGAACAGGAAATTAGCCCCAACGGGCAACATGATATATCACCCCACATTCCAGGAAGAGGAGGCTACCTTGTTCTCCTTACCACCGAAGTCTTAGTGTGAACTCATTTGAAAGAAACAGAAGACTATCTGAAGGACACGTAGTCCTTCCAATTTTGTAAGACATTCTCCATCTCATTCAGGTCAGATCATTCAAAAGAGGCAAGCTTAGAGAGCATAGTCTGTCTGCTTGTAGAAAGGCTTTTACTAAATTATACTTGGGCATGAGGTCATCAGCCTGCTATGAGAAAAGATGCTATAATGAACCTCTCTTCTGAATATACTGAAGGGATGCTGTCGAGGATACTACATCATAACATTTTCTCCTTGGCAGGACCAACTCTCAGGTTTCAGGCCCAGGAAAAACTAAGTTTTCTTTGAGCAGTCACTTTAGGTTAATCTCATAGACACGGAGGTTTGAAAGTTATCACATTTCATTTTTCCCTCTTGTTTTGTCTGTTAGGAAGCTCAGAGCCAAATTTACTACCCACCTCTAACAAGATGTTAAGGCATATGATGTGCAAACGCTAATCCTACTGCTGACTTCATGTTTTTAAAGTTTATTTATTTATTTTAGTGAGCTAGGAAGACAACTAAACATTTAAAGGGGAGGGGTGAGAGTAGGGGACTTGCAGTACTCATCCCACAGCAAACAAACTACAACTTCTTTCTTAGGCATGTCTCTACACCACATCCCTCCCTGGAGCTATCTGGGTGGTGGTTTTATTTTTCTGCTCTATTTTTTCTTTACTTGGCATCTTTGTCTACCATTTTGCCTTCTGACATTGTGTGCAATTTTGTAATCTGCTTTGTTTATTTTAATGAACCATGCAGTTTCATGAATCTTTGCCTAGAAGAGTTATTAATTGTCCAGTAGGTGTCTGGAATTGTTCTAGGTGCCAGGACTACAACAGTGAATAAACTCGGCAAGGTTCTTGTTGTAACAGAGTTTATGTTTGTACTCATTTGAGAAATAGACAATGAACAAGAAACAGAACAAATAAATAATGTAATTTCACAGAATGGTGAGCTTTGTAAAGGAAACAGAAAATATGACAGCAAGGGATGGGGAAGGAGACATGTTAGGTAAGGCGGCAGGAAAGGCCTCTCTGGGAGGTGGGATTTGAACTGAGATCTGAATGAGGAGGAGACTGACACTTAGAGGTCTGGGGAATAAGGATCCCAGACAGAGCAGATAGCAAGTGCAAAGGCGCTGATGCGGAGACAGCATGCTGTGTTGGAAGAATATTTACGCCCACCTGGCAACCTCCTCATCCGCTTTCAAACCCTTCTCACCTTTATCTACTTTCTCCTTGAAATAATCCCATCACTCTACACCACTCAAAGAGAAGGGCAACCACTTCGTGCCTTCCATACCTGTACAATCCACACTGAATCGTACCTGGCAGCTGACCAGCATGCCTTCCTCACTGGACTGTAGGCACATGGGGCATCCGTGTTCTTAAGGAGGACAAGAATAGCATTTTCCTTCTTTCCAACACAGTTCCTGGCACACAGAAAGCACATGGTTTTATTTCTCAAAATAAGCCATAGCTGAACTGACAATGCAGGCAGTGCCCACACAGGAGTCATATCCGCATGTGTTGGGCGAAGGTACAGTTTTTCCATTTGCAGAGCCCCAAGCTGCCTGTGCTCTGCTTGTGACCTGAATAGATTAGCAGCAGCGAACCAAGGGAGCATAGCCAGCTCCTGTTTGGGAGGAGGGAACCTGCTGCCTCCTTCCTCTGAAGAGCCCCTTCTGGGAAAGGAATGACTCTTAAGGCAGTATTGGATTTCCCTGCAAGATTTATGACCCAATTTAAAGTTATGGGGCTTTTATTAATTATAATAAACACCAATTTCATTACACTTCAACTTCCAAAGAAATTACACACTATGGAAGGGAAATAAAATGTTAGTTTTGTGCTAATGCCAGGCACACATTAACTGGCTGGGCACCAAGGAGACCAAGTTCCTGTTGGCTGCTCAGCTGGTGCAGAGGAAGGGGCATTTTGGAAGGGAGAGCCTGAGGGAGCTGTTTCCAGGATTTAAATCCATTCGGTCAAAAACAATGGAAATTAACTGTGCTGCCACATGGGACTTGCAGGAGCACTTCCTTTCTGAGGAGCCATATTGCATAATGCACTTTGGGCCCTGAGTCCGGAGTTCCAGACCTGTCTCTGGCTTGCTGTGTGATCTTAAATGAGTTACTTCCCCTCTCTATGTCTTCATTTACTCATCTTACAAATAAAGACAACGTAGGTCAGGTATGGCAAATAGATTTAATCTCTTGTGCAAATTCCAATTTATAGGAGGTAGTCACCTACAAGGCTATTTTGAGGTTTCTGAAGTTTCATCTAGGATTCCTGGGAAAGAGCAATATGATCAATTAGCAGTATCAGCTGGGGACACAAATTAGGGGGATGGAGGGCATGGGCTGGGTATTCACTATCCCAGGGCTTGATGGTCTCAAAGGTGCATTCTGGATTTGTGGTTTAATTTAAGGCTGTGTAGCTAGTTAGTAGCAAACCCAGGAATAAGTCTTGGGATCCTGGATTCTGAGTCCATAATCCCTATTTATAAAATAGGTGTAGTGGGCCATAAGTTACATGGTGTCGTACAGATTCAATAATGCTACATAAGGCATGTGCTTTGCAACAGAAGACACTCAACAAATATTCCTATCCTTCAGCATTTCCACCCTACCCTCATAAAACCATGCTAATTGGTGACCCTCTCCATTTGTTGAGGGTTTTGGAGAACTTCCTCTTCCAAAGCCTCACCTCAGTCAAAGTCAGATACATGGGTTTTTTCAGCTACATGCCCCTTGAGCATCATCTGAAACCCCACAGATTCCAAAAGGAGAATTTTGTTTTTAAAGCTGATTGGCTTTAGGTTTTACTGTTACGGACTTTCCAACTCTGTGCTACTTTTGTTTTTGCTGGGAATGGAAAATATTTTGTCACTTCTGGGATGATAGGGTTTGATGAACCCCCTTAGGGGGTGGAGAAGAGGATTCAGCAACTTTGCACAATTGCTTCCTGCCAGATGTGAAATTAAGCTTCTGGGTGCAAACCCAGAGTACATTTGGATAATGGGTGGGAAAGCCTGCTGGGCTTACGGGGAGGAAGAAGAGAAGCGGGGAGGACAGAATGAGAGAAGCTCTGCATGTGTGTGTGTGTGTGTGTATGCATGCGCACGCGTGTGTGTGTTCATGTGCTCTCTGGGCCTCATGATGTTCCAGTATTACGTATTTCCAAGCAGAGAACAGACATCAGCAGAGCGAGCTGTTCTCTCCTGGGTGCCCTCACCTCTTGCCTGATGCCACCGCTATAAGAGTCACATCATTGTCCCTGAGTGGTTGGGAGCCCACATTTTGCAGTTATTCAGATCTGGGTTTGAATTTCAGCCTCAATACTCACACTAGCTACATGCACTTGAGCAATCTTTGATGGGCCTCAGTTTCCTCATCTGCAAAATGAGATTAATAAATAGTGGGGTGGAAAATCCATTGGTGTTTGGCAAGTGAATGTGTGAGAGAAATGTTATGTTCAAGACACCTTATTGATGTGTTTTCAGCTTAGCTTTAAGTTACCGCATGAAAGAGACAAGGCACTGACTCTGCTGGGCCTTGGTCTCCCCAGCAGCCTACAAAGGAAGGAGACTGAATGAAATCCCAGGCCCCTTCTAGTTTTGACCATTGGCATAAATGATAAACATTGTCTGCACTCCTGGAGTACAGGGAGGATGCATACCATGCATCCTGAATGCCTGAACTACTCTGATGAATACTTTCTGCTGCTCACCCTGCAATTCGAGCCCATATTGGGAAACCAGACTTTGACGCTGGACTGTTGGGTTTCATATTCAAGTTCTGCATTTACTTAAATAAGTGACTACCAGCAAGTCACCTATGCTATCCAGTCCTCCTTTGGATCCAGTCTTTTTGAATAATTGGGGGTTAGTGGCAAGCATTGAAGTTTTTTTGCTTTTTTTTTTTTCTTAGATGGAGTCTCACTCTGTTGCCCAGGCTGGGGTGCAGAGGCACGATCTTGGCTCACCGCAACCTCTGCCTCCTGGGTTCAAGCAATCCTCGTGTCTCAGTCTCCTAAGTAGCTGGGATTACAGACATGTGGCCTGCCCTTCTGGGCTTATAGTGCCCGAACAGAGACCTCCATGCATGCTAGACTGTCCTTCTCTTAAGAGACAATAAAGCCAAATTTGCCTCTTAAGGGGTTGCCTACTTTACTTGGAGCCAACAGACAAATAGCTTTTTAAAATATTTCATAATTCAAACATGACTGATACCTGGATGTCTTCCCAGGCTGAGTTGATCCTGGTAGGGAATCTTCTCTGATTATCCTCCACCATGCTGTGATTTGGTATCTATCCCCCAAGTCCTGAAATATTGAGATTCTCTTTAAATCATGTCTTATGAGGCAGAACAGTTGTAAGGCAAGAACATGGACGCTAGGTCCCATAAAACCAGAATTCAAATCCTGAATCCACCTCTTATGAGGTGCATAACTTTTCAGCAAAGACATTTAACTTATTGAGTCTCAGTTCCTTCATCTGTAAAATGGAGACAACAGCAGCTGCCCTGTCAGAGTAAGTATGAGGATATTTAATAAAAAAAAGTAAAGCACTTATTCAGTAGGCACTCAATAGAAACAATGTTTTCCAATGTGAATTGTTACTCTGTTTATATTGTTATCCAGTCAACCTTTAATTTTCTCTAGGCAAAGATATGTTAATAATTTATTTATATTCCTTTTCTTTTTGCCTCAGAGCCTGGTAGAGGACAAATGAATGCATGCGCAAGAGCTCTACTTAGCCTGACTTCAGGCCAAGGATGTGTCTTTTCTTCTTGGTTAGAACATTCCTTCCCTGAGGATGGCATCTTGCAAGCCGGTGCAGAAATGGAATAACTTCTAGAATATTCCTCCCTTTCTCATCGCCTGCTTTACGGTCCCCACTGGTTCAACCTGCTCCATCAGATGTTTTCTTTGGGGGAATCTTCCCTTCCTGGCAGCCCAAGTAAGTTCTGATTTTGCATATGCAGAGAGTCTAGCGACTCCGCAACAGCCAGGGGATGAATATTCATTGTCACTCCTCAGCTGTGCAGTGGACGAGAAGTGCTGACAGAGGAGGATAGGCAGGGTCTGTTCGCTTGGCCTGCAGGATGCATTAGCCCAATGGCCTGGCTCCTGTCGGGGGCTGTCTGCAGCTTTGTAAGTTCTAGGAGTCACCCCTTGGCTTCAAGAGCGACTCCAACCTCACCATGACAGAGTCTTGGCCCTTTGGGCATCTCACTAATCTGAATCCTCTCAGGACCTGTGTGTAGCATTTATGATAGGGGAAACAGTTTACCCCATAGATTACAATCCACACTGTCTCCTGTGTCCCAGGGTCCCATGTCCCCAGCTTAGAAGGCAACATTTACATTGTACTTTGTGTGTATGTACCCCTGGGGTTGCACAACATGATGGCCCCAGCCCCACCCATTGCTTTCTTTAAGAGCCAGACATCCTGGTGGAAAAATGAACCAGACAGGATAAAGGAGAAGCTAGCTGGTCTTATTGATTTACAGTCTTGAGGTAGGTGGGGGCTTCAAGATTATAAAGTTTTACTAAAGCTCCCCAAAAGATGCCCATAGGTAGGCACATTGGGAAACAGGGCTTATACCATGATAAAGGGATATTATTACCAAATGGGCTACATGTGTGTGTGGTCAGTAGGAAGACTTTGAAAAGGAGGGGTTTTGGAGAAATATGAGCTTCTATTCCAAGTATTGTGTGTCAAGATGAGACTTACTCAGAGACCACTTCCTCCTTCCAACTTCATTGATATTTTGCACAGCATCTATCAAATGTTCTTTGGTTGCTCCAAAAGAAATAATGGTTTTGCCCCAAAGCCTCTCTCTCCTTCCCTCTGCGTTTCACATTAAACTTTGTACTATGGCATCTCACCCCATTGCACTTTGCATGGTTCAAGGACAAAGACCACCTCTTAATCATCTTTGTGCACCCATACCATAGCACAGCATCTGCTATACGGTGGTATATAACAAATGTTTTAGAATGAAATGAAATGCATCTTTATCCAGATTTCTGTAATTGGTTCATATTGACTTTAGCTAGAAATCAAGTTTGAAGCAACTTACAATACACAAAAGCCATGGCGGCACAGTGGTAAAACTGAACTTGCAACAAATGTACCCATGTGCTTCATTTCAAAATAGTTAATATCCTTGGAAGGTTACATACTACTTCCAACAATATTACCGTTGCTCAGATGTATCTGAAATTCTAGTTTCCTAGCTGTTGTCTTCATAGCTGCAGGGCTCAGGTGGAGGCTATGGGAGAGGGGAGCCCACCAACTCCAGGAAAGGGGCCTGTTGTGTGAATGATTATTGCAACTGTTAAAACAAGTCTAAGAGTGAGGACAAAAAGTTGGAAGTGGATTTACACCAGAGATACCATGGCAGAAATCGAAGATGGATGATGAATATAGGTTATTGGGACAGTTATGGTAATGGGAACTAGTTATTCTCAAACTGAAGGAGTCAGTGCCAGCAATATGTCCTGGGTGAATGAGATGAAAATATATTTCCCTTGCAACTATGAAAGTTCCCTTGCAACTGGACATGTAACAGGATTCCAAATAAGACAATACTTAATCTCATTTTATCCCCAAGGGGAGGTGCTCTGCCCATATTTCTTTCTTTCTTATTTTTACTTTTTATTTGGAATAATTTTAGATTTACAGAGAAATTACAAAAATTGCCCAGAGTTCTTGTATACTCCTTATACTCCTTTTTTTTTTTTTTTTTTTTTTTTTAGACTGAGTCTTGCTCTGTCACCCAGGCTGGGGTACAGTGGCAGGATCTTGGCTCACTGCAACCTCCACCTCCCAGATTCAAGCTATTCTCCTGCCTCAACCTCCTGGGTAGCTGGGACTACAGGTGTGCGCCATCATACCCAGCTAATTTTTTGTATTTTTAGTAGAGACGGAGTTTCACCATGTTAGCCAGGAGGGTCTTGATCTCCTGATCTTGTGATCTACCAGCCTCAGCCTCCCAAAGTGCTGGGATTACAGGCATGAGCCACCGCACCCAGCCTCATGTATGCTCTTACCTAGCTTCCCATAGTACAATAATCAAAACCAGGAAATTAACAGTGGTATAACATTATTAACTAAACTATAGCTCTCATTAGAATTTTATTCATTTTTCCACTAGTGTCCTTTTCCTGCTTCAAAATCCAGTCCAAGATTCCACATGGCATTTAGTCATCATATCTCTTTAGTGTCTTCCAATATATGACCGCTTTGCATTATTTCATTGTCTTTCATGATCTTGGTGATTTTGATGAGTATTGGTCAATTATTTTATAGACTGTCTCTTAATTTTGCCCCGATTCTAAATGAAGAAAATATGTAGGCTTGGCAGGTTACAGGGTGCACAAGAATATTAACTTTCCATTTTTCCATACTTACTTCCAAAGTAAGTCACATGTTACTCTGATTAACTCAACTTACCCTCTTCCTCCAATGGCTTTTGCCCATTGGCCAAATTCATATTCATTCCTCAAAGGTAAAGATCCTCAAGTTTGAAGAAACAAAAGTCTGAGTTAAAGCTCTAAAGAAACTCCCCAAGAGAAGTTGTAAAAAGTTTTTAGCACAGGCAGCTCCATTTAAGGAAGTATTTCACCTCTCCACATCCTAGCTTAGCCACATGACAGGGCGATGCTGCTGCCAGCTGTCAGCACCGAGATGGGAGTAGTGAAGCTGAACCGTGGGGTGGACCCCTGGAGTAAGCCTTAGGAGGATGTGAGTACCACGCTAACTCAGTTTCTTCCAATCTGTGGCCACTTCTCTTTATTTCTTGTCTTTCATGATCTTGGCAATTTTGATGAGTATTGGTCAATTGGGGCAATACAGCCAGAGGGTGGCCAGGGTCTGAAACAGGCAAAACAGAAGAGGGGCACTACACCTGAGCAATGGATGGGTGAGGGTCAAAGCCTAGAGGAGGAGGCCAGAGGAGGCTGGAGAGAGAGATTGGACATGTGATTATGTGGACTACCTCTGATAAAGAGGTCTAAGTCCCTTCTCTGTAAGAGGGCCTTGGAGATCCGGTATCAGATACATAAAGGGACCATTTTACTTAAATTTCAAATACTAAAACTTGCGTTCAAAATTTAATCACAGCAATATTCCATGACATGCTAGATAGATGTCTTCATGTTTTGTAAAGAAGGTTGTATCTTCCTTCTTCCTTACAACCAGTACTTAACTTATTTCATACAATTGTGCAGGTTATAAGCTTTAAAATTTCAGAATAGTCTACATGAATAGAGATTTGTGGAGTTGTGAAGTGCACAACCTCTACAATTGTACAAAGCAGCCCTGATAGGTGATTGAATGAGTAAATGGTACATTATCTTATGGGAGGTGAGTATCCTGTGCTAACTTCTGGGACCCTAATTACAGTTACTTCCTGGTAACATGAGCAAGGCAATCCCTTTCTCCAAGGTAATCACACATTTCAAGAAGTTAACCTAAGTGACACATGGTAACTGCACATAGTAGACACTAAGCAAAATTAGTTCTTTCCATTCCTCACCACTCCCATCATATATTAATAAGTATCATACGCATTCTGTAAGCATGGGAGAGGCATGTAGCTGATGTGTGTTCACCAGCCAGTTTAATCTGGAGAGAAGGGCAGACTTCACCATCCTTGTCCCCCAGATGGAGTCTCCTGGGACATGCCAGTGAGGGAAAGTTATTAGTGGTTTTGCTTTCTTGTTCTGAATATTATTCCACAGGGTCTCTGCTGAGACACCCAGGCCCCAGTGGAGCATGTAAGACTCTAGATCTAGCAAATACCCCATCTGCATGCCCTCCCAACACTGAGAATCTGTACATACTCATTAAGACAAATGCCCTACTGTGGATTATTTATACTGCCAAGGTGGGAATAAAAATCTAATTACTAGTTGTATTATTTTGACTCATGAGAAGTAAAAAAAATTTTAAAAATCTCTATTAGATTATTCATCAGCCTAGTGAAAAGTATTTAACCTCAGAACAGCAATGCTTGGTCTATTTTAATACAATTTTCTTACCAAAGTGCAATAAAGACTCACTAATGACAGTTTTATACATACTCAGTGAGGTGTAAACAGACCATAAGATGTTGAAGAAGTTGGAGGTGGGAGGGTATCTAGGGAAGAAGGTGGGGGCTGCCCATTCCACTGTCATGTGAGCTGTGCTGTGAGCCACAGCTGACTCCCATGCAGGAGGATGCAAATTTCCACCTGCAAACAGGATGCATGGTGAGTATGCCTTTAAGCAGCCTTGGCTAAAGACAGCAGGGTGTATTAAAAAGCAAGCTGGA